AAAAAATCATGGTTTTATTTTAAGTCCATTAGCCCCTCTGTATTTTCTTTAGTTAAGTCTTTAGATTTAAATATTACCCAATCTCAGGGCAGAAGCCATTGAAAATCAAAAGTTTCACATCTTTTCAAATTTAACATTATATTTTTGCGATTATAATCCCTTAAAAAAATCAGATGTGCAACCCTATTCTTATTGTCAGGTCTAATATAACTTTTACCTCATCGACGGCTGAGAAGTGAATCCTCATATCGACATAACGATTGATGTATAGTAAGAACACAACGATGTTTTAAAGCACATAAGTTTATTCCAATAATCGGCAAATTTAAATAGCATTCACACAGAATTGTACATGTCAACCGAACTATACGAGCAGTTCCGGTTGGGTTGCCTAGAATTCGAATGTTCAAGGAAAGAGCTAAAAAGTTTGTCATACAAACAGTGAAGATTAAATCGTATTAGGAATAATGATCGGCTATACAATAAATAGCAGCTGAGTCATCACCACAACCTGTCGGAGATTTCCGAGAACTGTTCAGTATTTCAAAGACTCCATCATTACCGGCCGAGTGGAAATTTTCCTAGTTCCAGTAAATTACCAAATTGAACACCTTGTCCGCAACATTTTTCAATAAATTCGGAAATGAAAACCGAAATAAGAAAGAAATTTCTGTTTAATTTACAACAAATCCAGCCAATGACATTAGGGTTATTCATGCAACCAGTGCTATTGTAAACCTCTTAAATGTGTTAATGCCGAGAAAAATTATTAAAGAATTGTATGTTAAATATCGGCACTAGAACATTCGATTTTAACGCAGTCTAGCGTTCTGTAAAACCGTGAAAATTTCGCAAATGCACGAAAAAGGTTATAATGAGATTTTGATATTGTTTTTAGTTCTTTGTACAATTTGAATCAACCAATATAAGCCAAAAGAAAGATGGTCTTGAATTTCATTTAATTTAAATTAAACTGGTATCAATCAATGCTAAGCATTTGAAAGAATCTTGCATCATCCATTTGAGAGAAAACCTCATAGTACCTAACAGAGGACTTCTTTACTAATCATTTTTGAGACTTGTTCGAGCATTTTTAATCAAATAATCCAGCAACTATGGCTGTTTACTAAACATTTTAAATTAAATCAAAACGTTAGATCAATCAAGTAGGAAAACTCACAAACTAAACATTTTTTACAATACAATCTTAACCTTATTTAAACTAATAACGCACAGTTCACGGTTTTAACCAAGATCCAGTTATCTGAGCTTAATCTATCAGCTTTATATCACCACTTTCGGTCGTTGACAAAACGTTAAATCCAAACCGAGATGTAGAAAGGTAGTAGGAGGTCACTAACACAGTTTTCTACAGTTCTTTGTTGTGTGAGCTACTCAACGTCAAGTGTTTGATTTCGTTTAACGAAAGTCAAAGTTAAATTAATTTGTACTGATTAGTGCTAGTTATATCAAAAAATGTTTTTCTAAATGTATCGAAAAATTCGTCATTAGACCAATGGACAAAATGATTCAGCCGAGGGCGATATATTTTTTTCTCCATTAGTCAAAATGCAATTGAATCGAGAAAATCCTCGTCATCTGCGAGGTCGCCAAAATCTAGAATATCCATTTTTGCAAGAGAAAAGATAAATAAAAATGATTAACCCTTAAAAATGGTGACCCTTGGTAACTAAGTTTTTCCTTCGAAGTAAAGCTTCGTTTGAGCCACGGGCGGATCTACGGGGGGAGGGGGCTTTCGGGCTGAAGCCTCCCCAAAATGGAAAAATGTAACCATGTTTTATGGGAAAAAAAATTTAAAAAATACCTCTTAAAGTATTATTGTTCGTGTAATACATTTAAAAGTACTTAAGGAATAACTTAAACACCATTTCATATAGGTAGTTAGTTTATTTATGTTTTTCCAAAGTAATTATCGTTATTTTTATGAAAAAAAAAGGTTTCGGGCTGAAGCCTCTCCCCAAAATTAATCTTGAATCCGCTAGTGGTTTGAGCGTCGGATAAAACTTGGTCTAATCTTAGATAACACTTAATCTAAGCTTTACTGTGTTGGAGCAACTGGCCCTTAGCAGGTTAGCAAAGAAGGGTCATTTATCGTTCATTTAAAATTTGTGCTGACTGCTTAGCATGATAACATATTAAGATAAAATTACAAAATAAATAATTAATATAATTACATTATAACACTAACTGTATTATATTAACTATTGATATACATTTTCGTTCGAGCGTGCATAAAGAAGTGAACACCAAATCTTGACACTTAAGGCCGCTTTCATCGTATAATTTCTCGACCAAATAATTCTTCTGGATCCTCAAAAACATCAGGAAATTTATCGGTGGATTCGAAGAAGAACACAGACGTGGGAGACGATTGTCAAAAATAAGAAATACTTTTTTTGGGTACCTAATATTTTTTCATGAGATCATTTTCTTTTTTATTGGAATCGTTTTATCTGCTTAGTGAGTTTATAGGTGTTCTCAAATAATTCTCTGATTTTTTTTTGTTAGAATAAGGTCTCTCACTTTTCAAGGTTTTTTCCTGTCTGTAGACACCCTTTTATAAGGAATATGGGAAACAATTTTTTAAGAGGGCTTAATTAAACAAGTATTCAAGGGAAAGATATAAACAAACAACTTATTAAGAAGCTTAATTTATAATGTACTTTAAAAAATAATTATTTTCAAAGACTAAGCGGAATGCTTCAGGCAAAGAAGGGATAATTCAAATTATAAGCCAAGGTTAGACGCAAAATTAATAGGTTTTTTTATCAAAAATTTTTTTATCTAATCAATAACCATACTATAAGGAATAATACTTTAGCCATTAAGAACACAAGGGCCATTTATTATTCATTTAAAATATGTCTGACTACTTAGCATGATGACATATTAATCATTTACCACAAGGTAAATTGATACCCCTATTAACATACATTTTGATTCGAGCGTGCGTAAATAAGTGGCTTAATAACAACAATATTTGAGACTTAAGGCCTTTACACCGTCAAGTTTCTCGAAAAAAGCTTTGTCCTAAAAATTGAAATGAAACAGATTGGTTTACAAGCACCAGAGAAGAGCACCACAAAATTTATATGCCCTTTTACATGATTAAGTTTCTGAAACAAAATCGGGATTGTAGTTACACATTTTTCCGTTAGATGTGTTAGGGAATTGAGGCCGTGACGGCCGAGTGTTGAAGCCTTGTCTGCTTTAACATTCTCGAATCTAGCGGCTCCGTTTCGAATCCAGCTTGTGCGGATTAAAATTCATTAAATGGCGGACCCAAGGAATGAATTCTGACCTGCCCAATGTTTTTAGAAAAGGTTTGGTTATAAATGCAGAATAAACTCCTACCGTGCGCTAGAAATGGCGAGGCAGAGGATAAATTTACAAAAATAAGCATAAATAAATAAAGGTGTGCCAAAGAAATAATTATGCTTTGCAACTTTACTTGTTACTTACTATACTATTTAATTGTTTACTTTACACTTTACTATAAGTGTTATCGTGATCAGTGATGTTTATTACTCGTGTTAAATCATTCATTCAACTTCTAGCTTACTGACTGTCCCGTAAATAATGTAAAATATTGATAGTAAATCTACAAAAAACTTTACTTTCGCAACTTCAAATGTAAATTCAAAGGAATTTCAACATATACTTGTTAAATTTTAATTTTTAATTTTGATATTTGTTAAATTTATTTAAAAAAAAAGCATAAATATCAAATGTTTTAAATATGTCTGGAATTTGTGAAAAGTAGTGTTGCCCAAATGCGAGACCGAGACTAGTCTTGGTCTTGCAAACTCAGTCTTGGACATGGTCTTAGTCTTGCGCAAAAGTCTCGCAACATTCTTGCAGTTACTTATTAGCTTATTACTATAGAAATATTACTGTAATTTTTTAGATAGGAGAACCCTAACTAAGTCCAAACAAAAAATTAGAGGAGTTAAATGCAAAAGTATGTTGGTAATAACAATTATTAACATTGTTTATTAAGATTGTCAAGTGTTAGTAAGTATTTATGACCCAATTTTTATGAAAAAAATCGATTTTTTTACCAGACCTGGTCTTGGTCCTGCAACGGTTAGGTGGCTTTGGTCTTGGTCTCGCACTTTGCAAGACCAACACCGATTTTGGGCAACACACAACAGATTTTTATTTTTTTTGAAATATTTTATTTCTTTTTCAATTTTCGCCAAAACAAGATGCCTGGTATAGACTCCTTTTTATCTTCCTTAACATCCGCCTTGAACTTCGTGAATAGCTTTATCTCATCTTAGCATATAACTTTTTTATTTACGAAAATGCTCGGAATCGGAGCGTTTTTTTTAACGCTGGAGATCAGCAAACTTCGTCTATTTAATTAGGCGCTAAAAACTCGTAAATACTAGTTTGCTTTCCACTTGAATTGTAGGATAATTTGATAACGAAATTGAGAAAAAAGGCGCCTACAAACATATTGGTCTGCTTGGCATTATTTCGACATTTTGGAGGTGTAGGTCACCCCAAACGGCTCAATATTTTTATTCTTCAACTTCTTGGCTCAATATATTGAATGCCACATTTTTCTCGATTTTAGACTCAAATTATCGTATGATTCAAGTGCAAAGCTAATGGGTATTTATGAGTTTTTAGTACATAATATAAATAGACAATGTTTGCCGATCTTCAGATTTATAACGCCACAAATCCGAGGATTTTTGTAAATAGATTAGCTGTAGATTAGGACGTGATGAAGGAAGCTATTTACAGAGTTTCAAGAGAATGTTAATAGCCTAACGGACCAAGAAGATACATGTTTGGGTCCAAAGGATGAAGTGTGATAAAAACTTGATAATTCCTGCTGTTTTAGGCATTACTACTAATTATCCTAAAAATGCAAAATCCTGATAAATAAATCATTCACCTCAGGATTTTCTGTATAGATGAAAATAATTAACTAACTAGGAAACAATTAACTAGATAGTTAATTAAGATCAGACTGTGCTAACTGTGCATAGAGAACGGTGACGTGACCAGACCACTGGCGGTAGGAGGCTAGAAGGCCCCTCAATTCGACATCCCATTCCGTTCGTTGACCCCAAATATTCGCAGCACCGGCCCCATCTCCATCCTACGATAGCCGCTCTGATAAAGAGCTAACTGTACTCCCGTAGAGGCCTAGCGAATCTGTGCTAGTGTGTGTGTGTGTGTGTGAGCGTAAGATGATAGGTCTGTAATTAAAATTGACTTATAATCAGGGTCTAGATTTTTATGTATTCAAAACTCACAAAATATGCCATATAATATGCAAGAAAAAGCCGCCGAATATGGAGTAATAAAACGTAAAATATGCAGGCGAAAGAAATCTCTGAGTATGCAATCAAACAACTGAAACATTCAATTATACTAATGCGCCTACAAAACGTTTTGGACAAAATGTAAAAAATACAAGAAGGATTAAGAATTAAATACAACTATACGAATTTGGTTTATTATTTTCAATAATCAACCATTGTGATCGACCAAAAAATTAAAAAAACTGAACCCCCTCTCAAAATTTGAGGTTTCACGTTTCAGGATGGGTAGAATTCGATATACGAATAAAAATTTTTTTGTCCGTCCGCCGTCCGTGCATTTTCTCCGAAACTACTGGAACGATTTTTTTTTTTTCAAATTTTGATATAAAATCAAAACTCACAAAATATGCCATATAATATGCAAGAAAAAACCGCCGAATATGAAGTAATAAAACGTAAAATATGCAGGCGAAAGAAATCTCTGAATATGCAATCAAACAACTGAAACATTCAATTATACTAATGCGCTTACAAAACAATTTGAACAAAATGTAAAAAATACAAGAAGGATTAAGAACTAAATACAATTATATGATTTTGGTTTATTATTTTCAATAATGAACCATTGTGATCGACAAAAAAATTCAAAAACTTAACCCCCTCTCAAAATTTGAGGTTTCACGTTTCAGAATACGTAGAATTCGAAAAAATAAAATTTTTTTTGTCCGTGCGGTGTCCGCGACTACTGGAACGATTTTTTTTTCAAATTTTGATTATAAAATCAGAGGTCACCCGAGGATGATCCTCCTTCATCGACATTACTATTAACGCCTTTTACTTTTAAAATGGCGGCCGGAAGACCTGCGTTGCTATCGACTGTAGCTCCTAAAGGAATGTACCGATTTCAATAAAACTTCGCTAAAGTTATTTTCTCGACGCCCTTTAAATTTATCTATATAACATACTTCAACGAAAAGAAGCTGGAAAAAAAGTTACGAGGGAGGATAAAATTAAATTCCGGATAATTCAATAAGTATACACTTTTTTGTTGATATTTTACATGGTTTTTTTTAAAGTTTATGGAATTTCCTAAAAAAAAAATCGTTAAAATCAGACAATTAGGAGCAAAGATATGATCCCCGGGTTTTTTTAGTATGTTCTACTCCAAATGTTATATCCTTTGTTTGGTTTTTAAATTTTGAATGTGTTACTGAACTAATGTTATTTTTTTTTAGTATATTACTAATTATTGGAATTACCTTTTATTTATTTTTCTTTGTAACTAGGAAGGTAATGTTACTTTAGATGTATAGTTGTTTGGAAATAATAAACCATTGTGAAATAATTTGAAGGGTTTTTTTTTTAATAAATTAAAATCATTAAAACATAATGTGATAAATGAAAACGGGAAATAAAAAAAAATTATTAATCGTTAAAAAAAAAAAGAGTATGACTTCGAAGAATTAAAATATCCAATTATCATAAAGTTCCAATTAATAGCTAATTGGCAATATTTAAATAACATGTTAGCCCATAACCAGGAATAAAATATGTGATACTCATTGAACATTACAATAATATAATTCTCAATTAGAGAAGATTTTTCACAAGATATAAAGAAAAAATTGTGAAAAATGTGGCAGAACAGAAGGCAACAAAATGAAGCTCATTTGTCGGAAGTGTGGAGAGAGAATGACAGTGATCCATATCTTCGAGAGTTGTGCCTTTTACATTAGACAATTAAACATAAGGGGAATACCAGCAAATACACCGGCTGCTTAGGCAAATGATGTTTTTTCTCCGAAGTAGGAATCTTAAAATATATCTGAACCTCTCACGCAGCACTCTCCATCTCTTTTTTTCCTCTTACCATTTTTTTTCTCTCTTTTTTTTCCTTTTTCTTTTTTAACTAATGTGCGAACTTTAAATAACTAAACTTTAATAACAATAAACAACTTTTAACCTTAACGTGCATTTTACATTTTTTTTTTTAATTTTATCCAATTCTTAATATTTATAACCAAAAGATATAATAATATATAATTTTAATTAACGGAGTTGATGACCAACAGGTTCTACGCCTTTACTGCACAACCAACTAAAAGAAGCTAAATTGAAATAAATAAAAATACAACTGTTCCAAATAGAAGACCTGTAACCGACTCTCTAGGAAAGAAAAAACTGTCCTCTGGAGATTAAAAATTGGGCATTTTCACATGCCTATTTACTAAGAGGTCTGGATTCACCAACATGCGAGAGCTGTAAGCTGCGAAGAACTCTCCAACACATCATCCAAGACGGCCATGTATTTAAAAATATAAGAAAAAAATGGATATGGTTCAGAGCTTATAAAAGAAAACCTGATATAAAATGAAAACAACGTAGAATAAAACTTGAACTTTAAAAAAATTATAGAATTATACAATAGAGTATAGGCATAATGTGTTGCCAATGATCCTACAGGGTAGAGGCAACAATAAGCACAAATTAAAAAATAAAAGTTACAAGTAGTATTAAAAGAAAACTAGGTAAATGTTTAACTAAGCAATTAATTGACAATATGAACAAAATCGATAAATGAACTTAGAAATTTGTTTTTGAAAACGTAATGTACTATCGCTAGAAATATTTTTGTAATAATAAAATGCTCCTTGCAGAGTAGTTCATTTCAATAGAAACTTGTTTTGAACAATAGAAGTAAAAACGAATTTTTCAATGAGTTTTAAAAAAAGTCGCTTCAATATTTAATTTTGAAGAAAATTATTTACCTTATATTATAACCGTTAAAAAAATTTTTTTTTTGAAACTGAGTCAGGTTTTTAAAGGAATAAAAAAAGAAGTTAAAATCCAAGAAATGAAAATTCTATATTCAAAGAAGTTAACAACTGAAACAAAAGAAAATAATAACTGAAGGTAGCATTATTTTGTTATTTGTTAATTCAACATCAACCTACTAATATATTAAGAATTTTCATATTCAATATCCATTTTAATTCATTATTTCTAATTATTATAATTATATTTTATTTTAAGTGATCAAAACATGCAATTATATGCATTAATCATCAAATATCCAATATGAGCTTTGTCTAATAGCATCTCGGTACACATAGATATTTGATCACTAGTTTAAAAACTGCGCACAATAAAAAATAAGCAATAGCATAAAAATCCGGGTGTTGGTTATAATATATGAATAATAAATTAAAATATACCATTTCAACAGTTGGAGAGTTTTTCACCACGCGTTAGACATCATTTTATGATATATCTCAAAAGTTGGCTAACCCTCATATGTTTTTGCCCTGCGTTACCCTCTTATATTGGACAACCATTTAAACCCCAGAAACTGTTTTATAACACCAGGCAACGTTATAGATTGAGGATCTTAATTGTTAATAAATGTCAATGACATTACCCACATGCGTATAAAAGATTCATAATTGTCGGTTGATGGTTGACTTTAATGAATAATGAAGAGAAGGATAGTTGGGGTGATCAGTCAAAAATAAAAATGGCAAAAATAAATAATAATATTTATTTTAACATTTTCGTCGACGTTTCGACCCGAAGTTCAGACCTTCATCAGGGCTGAGAAAAGAACCAGATAACAATTGGTATGACAAACATATACAATTCAGTTTAAAAAAAACAAAAAACAAAAACAAAGTAAAATGAAGTAGATAAGTGAACATTAAAGTAAAATAAAGTATGTAGAATAATGAGAATAACAAGAGCTAAGAAATAAATAATAATAACGGTTACAAAGTGTGGACTAATGAAGTAAATATAATCAAAATAAGATAACATAAGTACTAAAATGGTAATCTTAGAATAAAATTCGTGTATAAAAGATATATTCCAAAACTAGTGCTGTTAAATATTCTATTTATGCCTTTTATCGTATTTTTTATCCATGCATGACATATTTTTATATTGAATTCATATCATATTTTATGGTATGATGTATTGCTTATAATAATTTATATACTATGGTTATGTATACTTATATTAATATAGTATACAAAATCAAGTATTGAAATCTTTTTATGGAACATGTTTTAAAACGTTCCAGTTTTACAGTTTCTGTGTAACTGTTTAGAAAAAACAAGTTTTAAAAATAAAATTTCTAAGCAACTTTATTACTAGTTAATCACTGGTTAGATAATTGCAGGCGTAAACTATTTTTTTTATACAATTCCACCTAACTGCTGTTTAAGATTACAAAAAGTATATTAATTAATAAATTAAAATTCAAGACGGAATTCATTAATTAAAAAAAATAATTATTCAGAAGTATTATGTATCTATTTGTAATAAATTCATTGTTCGTTTTTTTTTTTGCTCCTCTTATCGCTTTCGGCTATAGGGGTTTTCTAGGGCCAGGAGAGAGAGCGGAGGACCAATGCCTGAGTGAAACGTTCCACGGGCATTGGGATTTGAACTCGAAATATTTCGCTTATCAGATTAGGTTGCCGACCAATTAAAACTGGCTACTATTTCTAAGTTAAAAAAAGAAAAGAAAACATAGACCAATCATTTTTTAGTATAATTATTCTTGCATTTTTTATTGTTTTTTCCTCTACATAAATTAATGCTGAGGTGGAAAAATATGCACAATGAATAAATAACTATTTAATAACAATTTGAAGAATTTATAATAATTTATTATTTATTTGTACTTCAGTATAATATTCAATAGTAAAATAATATAGAATAAGAAAGTGAACTTCGATACATAGATTAATAATAAAAATAAAAAGAACTTGGGATCTCATCTACACAAATCTCAAGTATTTTGAGAAATTATTTTTATTAGTGAAATAAAACTGATCAGGAATAGGAAATACGAGCGCCAACACAAACATTGACCAGTATCTTCACCAATACACAGACATTAGTTATTATTATCTGTTATCAGAAATATATATGTGTGGAGTCTGAGAATGATAAGACTTGGAGGTTGGATTTCCGCAACACTAGCAGTTGTTGCCATCGGTGGCCTCCCTCTATAAAACCCTCATCTTCCCATCAACTTCTTGGCCATCCTCAACGTCTGCCCGTCGGTTATAATTATTTTTTTAGTGATTCGTTCAAATGTGACTACATTGCACATTTTTAATTTTAATAAATTGAAAATTTGAAATTATTATTATTACAATAACATTTACTTGGTGCTATTCCGCGATTATAACCCTGCTGATGTAATAGTGAGATATTTCGAAATTATTAATAAATGAATAATTGATTCAAAAGCATATAACGATAAAATAAAAAATAATGAGCTAGTTAGAAGTTTTTAAAGCTCATTTGTGTCTATATTAATTTAAGAATTTTATTAATTTTTTCTGATACTTTTTTTACAAGCGAATATTGCAATATGACTGAAGTTAATTTATAGTATAATTGGGTTTAAAAAAGTTAACTGTCCTTCCGATCGGGTTATTTTTACTAACACTCCACTAAACCCAAATGAAATATATTTAAATAATATTAAATAAAATCAATCGTCCGATTACACCTATTATTACTTACATAATCTGTTAAAAATATTTTATTAATTATTAATAAAACCGGATAATTATTGGGAGGTTAATGTGTACATTTTAGTCGGTGACACTAACATAGCAACAGTGTGAGGGAGGGTCCAGCTGATTTCCCCACCACCGCAGCAGCCAGCTGATTCGTGTAAACAACATCCCGACAACACAACCAGTTGCCCCTTACCTATCCTATGATGACATAACAAGATGAATACATAACTGAGGCATAAGACGCGAATAAAATTGTAATAAGCTATCATTAAATACATTTTTAAAAAGTCAAGTGATAGTTGGATAAACCACATAAAACCTTAATTATATCGTACCTTTTTTGGAATCCAAACTAGCGGATGTCTTGAACCCTAGAGTGGACAGAGCTCTCCCCTGCGAGCAGTCCTCAACAACAACAGAACAACATCAACAACAACACCCAGATAGAGAACCTGATGACACGGGCATCACCAGCCGACTGGGCTCGGAGGGGCAGCAGTATTGCCAACCCTCGGGCGACCAATGTCCCTTCGCTGGCAGCCCTGCGCCGCCGCGCTGTCTCCCGCCATTATTGTCATCTCCCGCCCTTTTATTGTTTTCCTTTTGTCTTCCTTCGTCATACGCCTTTATCAATCCGGGTCCAATACTTCTTATTTTAACCTCCTACCTCTCTTTCTCTATTCAATATCAAAGAATCGTGTAGTGTACTGATGTGTCTTTTATCAGATGATTTAGTTTAGATTGTCTCGATATCGAAAGTACAAAAAGAAGTATAAAAATAGAATTCAGTTCATTTTAATACTAGCGAATAACTTCAACTGTAAGAAGAATAAAGTAAGAACTTTCAACCTGAATACTTATTACACATAACATATTTCCATTGATTGTATATGTAATATATGTGGGGCTGGGGTCGCCGTGCGGGCTTCAAATGAAAGTTATGCAACGCCGAGCGTCAAAGATCTTAATGGTCTGTAGCGTCAACCGAAAAAAAAAATTATATATATATATAGATTATATATATATATATATATATATATATATATATATATATATATATATATATATATATATATATTATATAATAATTATACACACACAAAACGTAATGCTAAAACAAGAAACTTGGCCAAAAACAGAGACTGATGACAAAAGTTAAATCAGATGTCTTAGATTTTATAACTAGACTGACGAATATGCAGATGAATGTAGGAAGGCAGTTTGAATTAAGAAATGTTTTGCTTGCTGTACTTTTTATTTTTCTTATTAGTTTCTTTTATTTTCAGTTTTTTATTTTATTTTATTTGTATTTATATTGCAGTATGCTGTATTTTATTTTTATATTGAAATTTTTTTTTGATTCTAATAATACTGATATAATTATTTTTTTAAACTGATATTGTAAATATCTACATATATTCTGAATTGCAAAATGTAACATGTACTACATTTTTTGAGCCTAGTTACGTCAGAATTTCGCGAAGTACTTTTGATTATAAGAATTGGATACGTGAAGTGAATTTTATTAAAGGAAAATAACAAAGGCCGAATTATTTCGTAACCGTGATAATATAATTTAATAGCGATATTTTAGTCATGATGTGAATTGCATAGGCGATACGATCAACCAGTTATTTATTAACAACTTGATATATTTGAAAAATAATCTGTATTAAAATTTATTCAGAAGATTATTAGATTCATTATTTTATGTATACATTTTTACTCGTTACTTCTTTAAAAAATCTGAAAAAAAAGATTGTTAGCACTTTTCACATGACTAAGAAAAACTTTAACGACATTAAGCATATTAAATAACATCGATATTTTTTGGTCCAAATCTTCAGGTGTAATACTTGTGGCTAATTTGGAAAAAAAAAAAATTTGTGAAAATGGATCATAATATATATATATATTCGCAAAAAGTTTATGGAATGCTGGTACATTTTATTAGAAAGTTTTCCTAACTCGAATTTATTAAAATTAAAAAATAATATTTTATTATTAATATTTATTAATTCTAATTTACATATAATTAAAGAATACGAATTTATATATAATTAAGAATATATATGGCAATCTTTCAGGCGTCATTCTTTTCACATGATCAAACCAGCATAACCTGGAGCTGGAAGTATAAGAGAGAAGGAAAATAGGAAGACAAAGGGTAAAATGGAAAGACGCGATGGAAGAAAGTCTGGAGGGTAGTGGCATCAGTGAAGAAGAAGCTTCGGATAGAGAAGAATGGAAAAATATTTTCAAGGGTATTTAAGTCAATGACAACCACAGTAATGAGAAAGTATTTTAAAAAAAAAGATAAATTATAAAATAGATAAATTATATTATAAATCATTAAAAATGATAAATTATAAAAGATATATTTATTATATAATAAAAGACATTTATTAAAATTACAAATTTTAAACTCGAATGTTCATTATTTTTTATTATTGTTTTTCCGAACATACAAAACTCATCATAAATATAAAAATATCCAATCATAGCGCATTAGTGTATGATTGAATAATCCAATTCCAATTTACACAAGTTTAAATTTCGACTTACAATTAATACACACAAAGAGCTAAATTAGTAACAGATATATTTAAATCAAACAAAGGCAGGACTAAATATAGAATGACCCTATATAAATTTAGCAACACGATATTATATAACAGTCCTAATAATATAATTGTGTTTACAAACTTTTCCATTAATTAATTATATAATAATTATGTAAAATTATATGGAAAAAAAGATAGCTGCTTTAAAAATAGAACAACTTTCAAATTCTGAGATATAATAATGAGGAAAAGAGCTTTTGTGTAATGGTTCATAACAATAAGAGAAATATTTGCTATACCAATCAATTATCTCTGTAATGACTTCAATTCTTGAGTAAACATAAGTTTATTGTTTTCAATAAAGAACAATAATAATAAAAATAAAAATAATAATTTTAACTCGCTAAAAATAGGACATTTTATTTCGTAAAATATTGTTTGTTTTTTTAAAAGGTATTATTAAGGCTTCAACGACTAGGGTCATTATTGCCTTATTTTCATTGATAATTAGATTTTATTTTCAAGTTTCGAAGATTATAGAAATGAAAATAATAAGGGTAAATAATATTGTCCTGTAAAATGAAGTGTAGATCGTGCGTCAAGTCACAAATAGTCTAAATGTTTCTTAAGCTCTGAATTCTGTTAAAATGCATTTCACTGTTAGAGGAGACCCACAGGTTTGGCATGTTGGCGAAGAATCACGGGCCATGAGGTATCTATGAGTAAGGCGTGTATGACCTATACGCAGGCGCGTAAGAATTATTTCCTCTCTGCGGTTATTCCTATTTCACGATATCCACGAGGAAACGTCACCTTTAACTTCACACAATTTATTTTCGGTTACATTCGACGATATCTGTTTCCATTTTGTCTTCATTTTTGTTTTGAGGACTGTTATAAAATCATCTACAGGTAATCCCCGATAAGGTATTCTATCGGTAATGGCTTCTTTGGCAGCTCGATCAGCCGCAATGCCCAAGGACCCAGACAAAAAATATTGATATATTATTTCTATTTGCGGACATTATTGAGTACAGAATGTTTTGTATGATGATATTAGATGAGAAAACATTTCCTAGACTAATTAGAGCGGATAGAGAATCTGTGCATATGACCATTTTATGTTTAAGGGGCTGTATAACATTTAAACCTATTATGTATTGCAACCAATTCAGCAGTATAATTATTACATAGTGATGGAGAGATTCGTTAAGCTTCATTATTATTACTAGAATAATAATGAATAATTAAATGAAATATGGACATCATATTTTAAAATATTTGCTCTTTAAATAGAAAAAAAAAATTTGACATTATTTTCAAATGATCATCCACGATCATATTAAATTTAACTAAAATTGAGGACTAAGGCGATTGTGGAAGATTTAACCTTCCTCAATAACTTTAAAACACAAACAGTTATAATATTTGAGAACCTATTTCAAACTGTGAAAATTAAGATAAAACATTTTACTGAAAGATTTAACAAAAAAAAAAAATTCAACGTTTCTATTTGTTTCTTTCTTAAAATAACAATAAAGTTATTTTTTGTACAATGAATACAATAATATACTTATAAAAGCAATATTTTGAGAATAAATACAATTTACAATGAATTTAGATTTGAGTCAAAGAAAAAAGTATAATAGAATGGAGAATTTTCAAGGCCATTTGACTTAGACCTAAGTTTACCCAAAACGGGTTCAACGTGGTATGGTTCCCGCTATTGAATGACGTCCAATCAAGAAACCGATAATGATTAACAATATATATATATAAAGTTCCACTGAGAATGAGAGCAGAAACTAGATGGAATTTGATTGAAACATCTAAAACGACTCTCACACGAACTCACGAACACACGAACTCGTGTTCATGTCATAGTTCTGAAAGTCTTTGACTGAAGTATTTTTGAGTTTATTCTTTGTTTGGCTGTGTTGATGTGTAAAGCGTGGATCTAAATGTGGTTAATTAGGTAAATTTCTGTTTTGGTTCCAATTTTGAATGTCATAAATGAACTCAGTAGTCTTACTCTGAGGTTTAACATTTTTCATTTTTTTTTTTTTTTTATATTTGATTTCCTTGTCATTCTGCTGTCTAATGTTAGTTCAATAGTATTATGCTTGATCTGTTTGAGGTATTATCGATACACAGGATGCTTAACTCAATACTCCCCGTAGATCGGAAGACGTTCGCCGCGATCATTTGACAGAGTGTACTCATCCTCGATCAGAGCATTGGCCGGGAGAAGAGCTATATTGTAAGAAGAGGAGGGAGTTGTTTACCAGCAGGGGGAGCCCTTGATCTTGAAGCGTTATTGATTCACTCTCTCCGACCAATGAGAATCAAGGTCACCCCGGAATAGAGGCCAATCAGAACCAACCTCTCTGCTCCCCCTCCCCCCACCGACTATGATGGATATGTATTAATAGATACATTTCTTTTTTACGACACTACAGTTCACTCTCGATACAATATACCCGCCTAGGACACTGTATCCTAACATTGCCTGGTCTCTGAAGCAATAGATCCACTGTTCGGGAAGGTTCAGTTATACTAATGCTAATAGCATACAGTTAAATATGATGGTATTTAATGTTTGTATCTGTCCTAGATGTTGAAATTTAATGCCTCTTAAACTCTCCACAAACTATTAACTAGAATAGTAAACAATAGAAAATAATAAATAATTATAAAATAAAATAAACAAAACAAAATTTTAAAAATGGTAAACGAATAGAAAATAAAAATAACAAAGGAATTACATTCAATCTTGGACACTAAAGTTTAAAATAAATGTAATAAACGCATTTATAGTTCTTTCGTCTTTTCGTACGCCATTATATTATTTCCTCCCGGAGCTCGTTCAAAATTGCGGTCTTCTTCAAACATGTGTATTATCGTGAGATAGATGTCTCGTCCCACGGGCGGATCTACGGGGGGAGGGGGGACTTTGGGGCTGAAGCCCCACTCCTCTAAAATTGTAAAATATAACCATGTTTAAG